GAACCTAAGGTTATCATCAGATTTGAAGGTTATCAACAATCCCCAAGGTTATCATCAAATTGAAAGGTTATCAACAGTCCCCAAGGTTATCATCAAATTGAAAGGTTATCAACAGTCCCTAAGGTCAACCTCAGTCGTTGCGGTCATCAGTCGTAGTGGTCATCAATCATCGATGTGTTTCAGCATGTGTACTCTCATATGTCCCTGCTGTGTGAACGATTTATCACAATATTTACACACGTACGGTCTCTCGCCAGTGTGTGAGCGGATATGACGCTGTAAATGCCAGTTATGTTTAAATCCTTTATTACACAGCGGACAGATCTTTCCTCGCGGTGATCCAATATCCATGTTTCCTCTGGGTATCGAGTCATGGTCAAAATCTGAAATAAACAACATAGAAAGTCATTGTGAATAAGGCAATAACCTCTCTTAGGCTATAGAAAATAAATTCCCAGATTCTCATCCCCGCCCGCCCGGCAAAAATTGCTCCGCCCGAACGATTTTTATTTTCAAAAAAGAAAAGAATAAAAAAGAAAGAAAGAAAGAAAGAAAAAAGAAAGAAAGAAAAAGAATTAAGTATTTACCTTGATAACTGTGTACGGATGCCGAGTACTTAAAGTATATAAATGTGGCATCATCTGTGCGGCCGAAAGTCCGTCAGTCTCTGTCTCGGATCATGCAGGCCGAGATAAAATTTCTTACCGTGAAAAAACCTCGGGTCCAAATGAAATTTCTAAGAGCTAAAAATAACCTGTTTTGATAGTAAAAATGAAATGTGTTAAAGAACTTAAACTATATTGAAGTTTGAGCCACAGAGGACCAATTTTGGACAAGTCAAATATTCAAATAAACATCAGTACATAAACAGCATAGGTAACTTTTGCCGTAAATTACAAATTTGTAAATTTTGTTTTACAAAGCCTTTTAAAATCGCAGCTGAATAACAGTCTAAAAATACTCATTAAATAATTAATCTGATAAAATCAAAATCAACAACAAATAGAAATGTGAATGGTTATGCAGGAAACAGACATTTTTTCGTTTGTCACATATTTTCGCGATGTCGATTTTTATAACAAGAAAAGAAGTCACCAAAAGTAGCCTTGTTTTGATAAAATCTGTCTAATAACACTTTTAATATAGTTTATTAATTGAATTTATTTACTGTAATGTTTACATTAGTTTAGAATGAGACATTTGCCAGTGTGTGTTAATTGTACAATGGATATTTTCTTAAGGGAGGGGGGTGTGTGGAATCACAGATATATCTACAAGCTCAATGGTGGAATTAATCAAGAAGAAACAGCAGAATTGGGAGTCTCAGGGTTTTGAAAATCCTAGTGAGGACCGTGATTATTTCTACCGTCCACATTTTGTTTTGTTTCTTCATTGAAAGCCACACTAAGAAAAGCCGTCTTTTTGACATTCACACAGTTTGTTATCATATAATACTTGAAATGTCACAGCCAAAAATAAACAAAAGGGTGCCGGTCCATGTGGTCTTAGAAACTAATTTTGCATAGAATCTGCATGGTCAGCGTGCTGCTTGATTTTGTATATAATCTTTATAATATCTAGTCATGGTATGAAAGTGAAAATAAGATAGCTTTTTAATATAATAGGTAAATCTCTGTACTTTCTTTGCCAAATTTCCAATAGCTTAGATGTTATTTTTGCAAAGTGATATATAAATAGGATTGTCTTTTTGTGTAGCTTCATTGGTTGATTAATTAATTTACTCATGTAAAAGCACTATTGATCAGCATAGGCATAGTACATCTTTATTCAACTCCTTTATAAAATTAATATGTCTTGTTTTGTAACAATACATGGAGATCTATTGTTTTTTGTGGGTTTTTTTTTGTCCAAACATCAATTGGTTTGATGTCAAAATATGAAAGGTTCAATAAAACAGCCAGATCATTACAATCAAGATATATTATCATGATGTCTGAATCTATATATCTTACATACATATAATATAAGAACCTATTATATAGAACAAATTCCCAAATATTGACCTCCTTGTGTGCAATTCCAGACCGAGAATGGAAAATAAAAAATGAAAATTAAAATCCACCCACCCGCCCCATTGTTTTCCAAAATTTGGATGAGAATCTAGTTATTTATTTTCTATTGCCTTATTGTATATCATGATATAATATAGATAAATACAACAACAAAAAACTTCAACATCCATGCAATATTATAATAATAAATATTCTTAACACTAAGATTTTCTCATAACGAAAGTGTAATTAAAGTAACTTTACCACATATATTATAAAATTATTTCCTTAATGTATACAGTATATATAATATCTGGCTTCCTGGGGGATATCAATCATTTCAGATATTGAACTGTAGAAAGTATATCATTAAATGATTAAAACTATAAGTTTCATTAACATCACAATTTATTATTTATAACATACAGGATGTTAATAACATGTTTTTTAGAAACTGTATTAACCATAAAATCATGTGAACACAGTTAAGGCCTCATCATAACGCCAAAGGCAACTTAAACCATTTAAAATCTTGGATATATTTAATATTTCTAAAAATGAAACAAAGAGAGTTACAAGATTCTTTATCTTTATTTTTATAAAGACAACAACTTCACAACATACACAGAAACATCAAATATACACAGATATTATACTATATTATTCTGATATAAACATTTCTTTGAAACATTAAAATGTTAACATTTAAGCTGCTAAATTTTTTTTCAACGGATTTACATGCTTGAATGCTGGTATAGTTCATTTGAAAATGAAGGGGACTCATTGTCAAAAAACAAGTATTATGTTTAATCAGTTTAGAGCCTGGTCAGACACTGCAGTGTCTATTCTAGGATTTGAAAAACAGGGAAGGGGGGCGGGCTTATCATAAAGTGAGAATCCATAACATTTACTCATTTTTTTTTCATTCTTTCTCTATGTAAAATTTTCACCCCAATGTATGGGGGAATTATCAAAATTAGGATTGAATCCCCTCTCCTAGAATAGACACTGGACACATAAAGGTAGACTAGCCGGGTTCTACACCGGTGGCACAGGTTATGGTTCCTGGAGCAGGCAGGTTATATATCTGTAGCCAAGGCTAAGTTTTCAGCAGGCAGATTATATATCTGTAGCCAAGGCTAAGTTTTCAGCAGGTTGGTTATATATCTGTAGCCAAGGCTAAGTTTTCAGCAGGTTGGAATAAAACAATTACATTTTATACAATTAAGAGACTTCTTCACATTCAAAAATGAATGCATACAATCAAGATTCAAGAGTAAAAGTAAATACAATATGCTGTATACTGATTATGATAAATTAAGAATTACCATATATTCTGTAATAAAAGCCCACAGGGACATTTTCCAAAAGAGTGGAATTAAGTATAGAGTAAAATGAAAGTTAGATATTGTCAAATCAAAACAGAAGTTTATTGTTTCTGAGTTATTTTTTCCTAGATAATATATAATAGAAAAAACAGCCATTTTAAATTTTGTAAATATAGGACTTCGTTTATAAGGGGAGGGGCATTTATCAAAAATTATATGTTTATATACACTTACAAATGATCAATTCATGAAATGTAAATCATAGAAAAATGCTTTAAATCTGGTCCTAAGAAACAAAGTTATAACATTCTTAAAGTTTTATAAATAAGTCAACAATCCAATTGATAAAAAGAGATATCATAAATAAAATGAAATTATAAGTCAACTATGCATTTTTTATACTAATTTTTGCTAATTTTACATCCTTAACACTAAACCCGTCCTCACCAATTCATTCTAAAGATATAAAAATGTTGTGTGTAAAGGGAAACAAACTTTTCTTGTTTATTCCTGCCACTATAACTAACCATGTTTGGTCATTCTTGTTTAATCCTGCCACTATAACTAGCCATGTTTGGTCATTCTTGTTTAATCCTGCCACTATAACTAGACATGTTTGGTCATTCTTGTTTAATCCTGCCACTATAACTAGCCATGTTCCGTCATTCTTGTTTAATCCTGCCACTATAACTAGCCATGTTTGATCATTCTTGTTTATTCCTGCCACTATAACTAGCCATGTTTGGTCATTCTTGTTTAATCCTGCCACTATAACTAGCCATGTTTGATCATTCTTGTTTAATCCTGCCACTATAACTAGACATGTTCCGTCATTCTTGTTTAATCCTGCCACTATAACTAACCATGTTCCGTCATTTTTGTTTAATCCTGCCACTAAAACTAGCCATGTTTGATCATTCTTGTTTATTCCTGCCACTATAACTAGACATGTTTGGTCATTCTTGTTTAATCCTGCCACTATAACTAGACATGTTCGGTCATTCTTGTTTAATCCTGCCACTATAACTAGCCATGTTTGATCATTCTTGTTTATTCCTGCTACTATAGCTAGACATGTTCCGTCATTCTTGTTTAATCCTGCCACTATAACTAGCCATGTTCCGTCATTTTTGTTTAATCCTGCCACTATAACTAGACATGTTCCGTCATTCTTGTTTAATCCTGCCACTATAACTAACCATGTTTGGTCATTCTTATTTAATCCTGCCACTATAACTAGCAATGTTTGGTCATTCTTGTTAAGTCCTGCCACTATAACTAACCATGTTTGGTCATTCTTGTTTAATCCTACCACTATAACTAGCCATGTTTGGTCATTCTTGTTTAATCCTGCCACTATAACTAGCCATGTTTGGTCATTCTTGTTTAATCCTGCCACTATAACTAGCCATGTTTGGTCATTCTTGTTTAATCCTGCCACTATAACTAGCCATGTTTGGTCATTCTTGTTTAATCCTGCCACTATAACTAGCCATGTTCCGTCATTATTGTTTAATCCTGCCACTATAACTAGCCATGTTTGGTCATTCTTGTATAACTAGACATGTTTGATCATTCTTGTTTAATCCTACCACTATAACTAGCCATCTTTTCGAATGAGTTTGATCACCATTATATAATCATATCCTAGCGAGATCATACCAAATGATTATTCTTAATAATTACACATTATTTCATTCTCTAAATGCTGAATTCTAGTGAAGCTGGTACATTAAAAGACATCAAGAAGATGACCACAGCTGAAACATTAACCTTTGCTGTCCAGGAAAATGCTTAAAAATAATCAAAACACACTTAAAAACATTCTTATCACTCTACTTTTCACTATCCACAGAACACAAAAATTAACAGGCAAATGAGAAATTTATCCCACTTTTTAAGCAATCCCCATAATAAGAGAGTTGATACATTCATTAGTTCATCACTATTGTAAACTCACTCTAATTAATCATCCAAATGTTTCAGCATATGAACTCTCAAATGTCCTTTCTGTTTGAAAGCTTTGTCGCAGTATTTACACGTGAACGGTTTTTCTCCGGTGTGAGATCTCATGTGTCTCTGCAGGTACCAGTTGTCACGGAACGCTTTATCACATATCATACATATTCTCTTTAACTTTCCCGATGTATCAGCGGGTCCTTGTCTCATAGCAGGTTCTACATAAGATTTCAAGATTTTATTCCAAATACATGTGGGTATTATACCCATGAGCACACAGCATATATACAAACATACATACATACATAAACATAATATCAAGGTCATTAAACATATATAACATATATTTAGCATTTACTGTATATTTGAGTCATAAGTTTGCTTTAATATGAACAGAATAACATATTACAGCAAGGTTTAAATGAAGTACAGGTTTTACATAATGATATCAATTAAGTAACATTACATTTACCTTCCTAGGTACTATAATTTACGAATATTCATCATTTGTTCTTAATTCAAACATTTTAAAGATAAACATTGATAATTTTCTTATAACATTTTCATTTTGAGATGTTAACAATTCAATAAATTTTGGTATATTTGGTTTTTTCCAATAATATTTATCTATGAGCTGTTTTCTCAAAACATTGTATTGTGGACATTCTAATAATACATGAAATTCATCTTCTAGTTTTAAGCAAATATTACATTTTCTTTCATTATAAGGAATTGCTTCAGGTTTATGCCATCTACCAGTTTCTACTTTTAATCTATGCGATGATGTCCTGAAACGTGATAAAGATTTCTAAATTTTTCAATATTAACCATTGACAGATATGACTTAAAACCAAAATCACAAAATAATACATAACTTCTTGCTCTTGATGAATCTCTTAAAGCTGCATACCAATTTTGTATAAATGTATCTGTTAATCTTTGTTTTACTACTGCTAAAAATATATTTATATCACCAACGCCCTGATTAATCCATACTTCATTGAAACCTAAAGATTGTAACAAAATCATAACGGACTTAGCCCAGGACTTAAAATTCGGTTTAAGTTCTAAATCTCTACACATAAGATCATATACAACTTTGACATATTTTGTACTACTTAACTGAACAACTTTTAACCAGTATTTTATAACATTAATAGCTCTCATTGTTTTTAAAGATGTCCTTCCAAGTTCACCATAGATAAAATTGTTTTGTGTTTGTCTTTTAACTCCTAACAACTTCTTACAATACTTTAAATGAATGTTTTCTAATACATGACTATCAAGTAAACCCCATATTTGTGATCCATAGTTAAGAATTGGTAAAATAAGTTTATCAAATAAATCCAGTTTATGTTTAACTGACATACAAGGGAATCTTATCAGCTCTTTTTCAAGTTTATACAACGCCTTCAATGCTTGTCCAGAGAGTGTTTCAAAAGTCATATTAAAAGATCTGCCAACAGAAAAACAATTCCTAGATATGTAAACTTTTTAACTATTTCAATTGACTGACCTTTATAATAAAAATTCAAATTCTGTCTAAGTCTTCCCCCTTTTTTAAAAATCAAAACCTTTGTCTTTGTACAGTTAACACTTTATTTCCTCCTATCACAATATATTTCTAATAATCTTAATCCTTTTTGTAAGCCCTCCTCTGTTTCAGACATAATCACTATATCATCTGCATACAATAATAAAAATATCTTTAAAATACCTAAGTCAATACCTTCAAAACCATTTAACATAAAATATTCTTCTTTATCAATTAAATACATTGAAAATAAAAACAGCGAAAGGGTTTCGCCTTGTCTTACTCCCAAGTAACATACAAATTCTTCACTAATAGTATTATTGTATTTTACTCTTGTATATGGACCTAATAATATCTAACATTTTACCTCTCACTCCAAATTTAATTAATTTATACCAAATAACATCTCTTACCAAATAATCAAAAGCTTTAGTGAAATCTACAAAAACAGCATACAATGTTTTACTATTATCTAATAAATGTGTTATAATACCATGTAATATAAAAACATTATCAATAGTGCTCATGTTTTTTCTGAAACCAGCTTGGGTTCTATATACACATATTTAAACGTTCATTTATTACTTTGGTAAAAAGTTACCCAAAAATGCTAAGAAGAGTAATACCTCTATAGTTATTAGGGTTATCTATATCCCCTTTTTTATGATCTGAAATATAGAACATATATATATATACATAATCAGATATGTACAAGTTACAATTGAACTACAATATATCAGATTATAATTATGAAATAAATTGGTCAATTTTCTCTTATCTATTGTATAAAGGAGCAAATTATAGTAATAACAACAACAACACAAATTTCACAAAAACAGAACTCAATTGTTATATAAAGTACCAATACTTCCATTCAATTTATAACAAATACAAGTAGTTTTTTACAGACATTACGGTCACTTAATACATAAATGATCTGACAGAGAAATACAATCACTTGTTTTCTTAAACAATACAGTCATGTATTTCTAAAAAGGTTATTTTTTTATAAATTTCTTTTCATTTTAACATGAGTTTTATATTACCATTATAATGCACACATAAGGGTCAGCACTGTATGTTATTCAATAATATATGAGCCGCTATGGCAAGCCAACAGCATGGATCCTGATCAGACTGCGCGGATGCCCAGGCTGCTCTGGATCCATGCTGGTCGCAAACGCATTATATTGGTTTTGTCATGATGCGGCTCATATTTATTATATAAGTACAAATTTTTCTCTAAAAATGACAAATTATTTTGTCCAGATTGAATGATGGTCAAGTCCATTTCAGATATTTAGTGTGGTAAAAAAACAACAGATAATATAAGAGATCAAAAATTCAAAGTTAGCTACCTGTGTGACAGCCATAATGTAATGGCATGGGCGAGTGGGTTAACCTGTCAGACTAGGATTTCAAGGATCATTAGCAGCATGGGATCAATCCACATCAGGGGCAAGCCATTTGTTTCCTTACCCAAGAAACTTGACATTAATTGTTGCAGTACTGGTTGGTTCCAGGAACAGATTTGAGAGTATGAGATAAAAGCATACTACCTTATTTCATGAATGTTTTTTTTCCTCACTTTCTTGTGATTCTGGGAACAGAATGGTAAGGGGGTAATATATAGGGAGTGAACAGGTGAAAGTCAAATAAGTTTTCATTTTGCAATAATTCCTTTCAATTTTATAGTTTACTTCCCAGGGACGATAAATAACTCATGTGGCCAAAGAAAAATTCTATGAATATCTATATCTATTAGATTTTATCTGTAATATTCAATTTTATAGAAGAGTGTGGCAGTCTTGATATAATCTAGGCAGATTTATATTTTATCCCAAACAATTTTCAACATCAACCGTTGGTCAATCACAATTATAACAGTTTATTTTTGGAAATATAAAGTTACTTCAACTCAACCTGACAAAGAAAATATGAGCATAATGTCACTTTAATCAAGACAAAATGTAACTTCACAATAAAATATATGCACAAATACCAAAATACTAACTGAATTTAAACTAAACACACAAGCTGCACAATGCTAATAATGGTTGGTACAGGTGGAAACCTCTTCAATAATTACAGATTGTGTACAAACTAAGACATGGCAACCATAATTGTGTTTAAATGAAATTTTAAAATACATGTATATTTTTACCTTAAACAAGGAAAATTACAAATGAAACATTGAACATGTCAAATTTATGAATTGTAAATGTTAATCAGTAACTTCCTAGAATTATACAACTTTATAATATATGATCAAGACAATATAGTATATATAAGTAGAACAGAAGGTTAGTTTATTCAGTATAGTTCTAACATCTTTATAATATATGATCAAGACAATATAGTATATATAAGTAGAACAGAAGGTTAGTTTATTCAGAACTTATTTTATATTTTATAACTCTGATGAAGACTCGGGAGAGTCAAAACGTCAGTTATCATTAAATAAATCCTTAAAAATTACCCGGTGTTGATTGTTCCACTTTTATTCAAAACCTATGTTAGAGTTACATACCTTGGACAGTGATCTCCTATTATGCTTGAAGTTTCAACCCATTCCCTTCAGTAAGTTTAGAGATACTAACTTGCATACAACCAAAGTATGAAGCTGCATCTTAAGCCTGGGTGAGTACACATTAGTTATCTTATTCTACAGATACAAATGTAGTTCTCAATAATCAAGCTAAAAATGAGCTTTATATACTTTATTGAATGTATTTAATTGTATTTTTTTTACATCTTTACTTCAAATCACAATGAAAACACAATCATGCAATTACTCAAAACAAGTCTCACAAATTGTCCGGGCCTTTTTTTCTCCTATAAAATGTTCATTTATGTAACAGTTGCAAATAACAGTTATAAACACAGTGGACTTTAAACATTTCTGATTTCTAGTCACAAAATGAACAATTTAGAATATATTGTAATGTACAGTCATGTGTGAATGTAGATTTCCCTTGGTTGTAAATCCTTTTCCACATTCCTTACAAATAAACGGTTTTTCTCCGGTGTGAATTCTCCTGTGTGTCTGTAGTTTCCAGTTAGTGGGAAAACTTTTGTCACAAAAGTCACATCCATGTTTCCCAGTCTTTGTACTGTCTACTTTCTTTCCTGAAAATATATATATATTATACAGAGTTTAATTAAGACCATTTAAATTCTATCCTGACTATAACATTTCTATATGACAATGAGGAAATTGGTCAAGCGCATTTTTGGCTTATTCCAAGGCACAGATATAAGGACTCTGGTTGAATGAAAAATTAACTCTTTTTCAAAACTTCAAAAAAAAAAAAATCCCTGAACAGCAGCCGAATTAATTAAAACTTTTGTCTACTCCTGAAAAATTCTAATTATTTTGACATGCAAATGCCCAAAATGCTAAATATTGTTTCCCCAATTCAATTACTTTACGCCAGGGGCCTTTTCCAGTATTTCATTATCCCATTCAGGTGTAGGGTTTATCAAATTATAAGAATAAAATATTTAAAACTGAACTTTCATTACTGGCCATCAATAAATAAATTTGAAACCTTAATATACAAGATACCTGCAAGAAGAAACTTTTTACCTTTACCAAATATTTATATTTCTCAAAGAAACTAACTAAGTAAACAATACATTTCTCATTTTCTATTCTTTAACAATTTGCTGATAAAAATGGAATAACTGTGTTTGTAGAGTAGACTGAAGTTTAAATTTCACATCAAAATAAATGGTTAATCAATAAAATGTCTTGTTTCAGGCCTGACTATATATTGACACTTAGAGAAAGTCAGTATTTTACTGTTATAGTAACACTAACATTCTAAGTATCTTTAATTGACTTGTATATCTTTCAATATAGACAAAACCATTCATCATTTTCAGGGGGAACATTTCAAGATATGGACATACTGTATAGTGAACAGTGTAGAACAAGATCAGGAACATCCCTACCATCTGATCACATGGTTAAGGTATGAATTTGTTGTTGCAGCCAACACGCTCAGGGTTAATCAGAAAGTTTATTGCTGTACAAGCTCTTTCATGTATATCAGACTTCCCTAAAAATTGTAATGGTCAGTTCCAAAAATGGAAGCTGGACATAATACTTCATTTTAAGAAATTCAGCAGGTTAAGAGCTGATAATAATTGACAAATTTGCCAAAATTATACATACAAAATACATAATTATATGCCTTCCTGTATATAAGCTTTATTTCATAAATTGTACATTTAAAAGTTTATATTTACAACAAAATCTGATTGTGTATATATAATGTTAATGTCTCCCTCCAACTTCAACAAACAAACCTTTTGTATTCTATAACATTTTTCAAAGGTACAACTTGCCTATTTTATGTCATGCATTTTCTTTTTATAAATATTTACAAGGAAACTTGTACACAAACATCTATTCCTATACTGTATATACATCAAACATGTCGTATTTACTGTTAGACCTGTTATATGCCTAACCTCAAATCAATCAGTCTTACTTATATAATATTCAACTAAATGTCAGATTGACATGTAGAGTTAAACTACTGTCACACTTCAATTAAGCAACGCTCTTCTTCCTCAATTACATTTTAATTATTCCACGGAAATATTGAAACTGCATAAACAATTTTGAAAATATAAACAAGATTTTAAACATCAACAGTATAAAACGAAAACAATATGATTTGTTCTATAATTTTAGATGTACGGCCAAGTGGGAATTCAAGTTTCCTTTTGTGCTGAAAGTACGCTCACAAAACCGACATTTGAAAGGACGTTCTCCTGTATGTACTCTACGATGTGTCTGTAACTTCCAATTATCACGGAAACGTTTCGGACAAAACTCACAGACATATTTTCCAGGCATCTCATTGGTTAAGGAAACTTGTGAACTTCTTACACTCATATCTGAAAAATTGTAAAACACAAAATTGATCAAGAATTAAGAAGTCAATATCAAAGTTATATATAGACTTGTAAAATGTTTACTAAGCTTCTTATCAATTATAGTAATGTTACAGTCAGTGCGGCATAATGACAACAAAATAAATATTTTACTGGATTTAGAGGGGAAATGCTGGACACTATTGGAAACTATTGACCGAGCAGATTTCAAGTTAAAGTGTCTGTATATAATTATGCTTATAAAACAATTTCCAAACATCGAAGAATATATAAAATATGTACTGCAAAAAACTACATATTATATGTAATCATTAAAATATATGCATTCATTTCTTATTGAAAAATTTGATTCAGACTTTATAGAAAATTTTTTTTATTACCTCCCTTTATTTACATGAAATGTTAAAGTCGGTAATATCTTAATAAATAATGCTTTTTGGAACTTACAAAATAAATAAATCTTAATTTGAGCATCATATTTCATGATATAAAACCATAAAAGTTGTGTTACAGAGTCTTTAAGTTGCTACATTTGATTGTTCAAGTGGTGATGATGATGAAGTTTTTATGTCACCAGTATGACAGAATCAGGCCAGCCTGTACATCAGTTCTGTCTTACCGGAATCTACACAACTAAAATCCCAATAGTCCAGATACACAAATGTTAATTCAAAGCTAGACAGACTCATAATATAAATCTAAGAATTATAATGGAACAGATCCATTGACAGGAAATATGTTTTCCCCAATTTCCTGACTGTTCTAGTTTGACACAGATGTTGAAGACATAAGTAAAACAGTTATCAACAAAATATGCCAACTATTATTATGAGATGATAATAAAATGACTCTAGTTCTGTATATACTAAGAGAGAAACTAAAGTAAACAAGGATTTAGAACAACACGTCTAACAAAGAAAGTTGGTAATTTGCCAGCCAGATTATTTCAAAACTAAATTGCTTCTGATCAGAAACTGGCCCCAGTAATGAACATTCATTTTGAAGACAGCTCCTTGCTGTAACTTAACTGTTACTATCATTAGCAAAGCTTGGTAATAATCTTTAATGGAGATACAAAAAGAGTTATCAAACCTACTTATAACATTTAAAATTTCTTGATAAAATTCATGTGGAAATACATAACTTATAGCTATTGACAAAAACATTTTATTATACAACCATGAAAAATTAACTACAAACATTAATAATGATTTAAAATTGATTTATTTACATTGTCTAGAATAATGATGTAAGTTTTTTTATTTACAATGTCTATATCGTTCAACAAATACATTTTAATCAAACAGGTACGGAAACTACGGAAACGTATAGCGACCACCCCTATATGTTAGTTAAATCAGAATTTTTGACAATTTATTTAATACATATTATATACCTAACCAATTCTTATAAGCTTACTTGACCTGAAATATTTATCTAGTAATATCTACAGCCCCTGCATGTTGGTAAAAACTGAATTTAAGACAATTAATTTAACACACGATTTATATTTGACCAATATTTACATTGTTATTTGATCTTGAATATACATCATTTACTCAATCTGCTGTTAATATTGCTGGATTCAAATTTATGTAACAAATGTTCTGTTCATTTATATGTATTAGTTATATATATTGGGGTTTTTCATTCGCATTCCTCTAGCATTATAAAATATAATATAACATATTTTACAATTTATATATGATGATGAGGACAGAAAAATCTCGCACAATAGAAAGCTTTTTTAAAAATTATAAATGAAACATTCGATTGAGGCTTTTTGTATTCCAAATATTAAGGAAAGTTTAAATTATTGTGCTTCAGATAGTGTTACAAGATAAAGATTCAATAAAAAAGGCAAACTCTGTTAGTTGTTAATAAGTATATAATAAGCTAGTGAAGTAGTACCTGATGTAAATTACTTATCATAGAAACTATTATATTTTTGTAAGATATATAATATATAGAGCTTAAAACTTCCGACACATTTACCAGTTTAAATGTATGTACAGAGGATGGTACATGATAAATATTATATTTTAAAAGGCATATTCGACCATTTGATGTTCTTTTCAGAACATAGATCCCAAAGATTAAGCGATATTTCGTCTTATATGATGTGTGACACGAGAAAAGTCAAGACATTTGTATTTGGTAAAGGAAGCATTTAAATCAAGTTATATTGTAAATCATATATAATACGTATTTTTTTGTAATCTATCGTACGTTTTTATCTTATAATGCAAGATAAACTACTTTTAACTTTTTGACAAAATGGAAAACTAAAACATTTACATATTTTGAAATATGTAATTCTTTCCTCAAATCATGTTTGCATATAACAAACTTACTTTAAAACTGTAAATAAAGTCATTTGATATATTTCATATATGGATGGTCGCTATACGTTTCCGTAGGAAACGTATACTGATCCCCTTATATTTATCAAAATGAAGACAATATCAGTAATTTCACGTAAGTTATATAGTTAAACATATATAAAATGACTAAATCTATCAGATATTTATAAAAATTCATTTATAACTCCAACGTGAAAGTAAAATTATCTTTTTTGATACGGTGAAAAACCGGCCTTTTAAGCGTTTATTTTCATTTTTGCTAATTTAAGTAGAATTCCACTTCGTATTATTTAAAATTTGCGAAATATAATCATTTGATTTTACAGTTATATATATTGAATATATATTTAATAAAGTATTATAGGTTAGAAAGATATATGTCTCCAAATATAATTAACAATGTTTACTGTTTAATTATCTGCACCCAAATGTAACGCATGTACAAATGTTGCAGTTATATAGTTCTCAGTAAAAGGCAGATTGTATAATTGGATGTTTTCAATATCATGATGCCTGTACCACGTGACTTTTTGTGATCTCCAAGAGGCAAAAACCAATACAAAAAACGGTCCAGATTTTTTGGCCATGATAACTTTCTAAATAAAAATTTAATGAATGTGTTGATCACTAGAATGAGCGGGCTGTACATTTAATTCTATAAAAAATGAAATATTCAAAAATGAAATAAAATTGTGCTCGTTATTTGTATTATGCTAACCTCCCAAAGGCACCGTGAATATATTAAGATGTCCTTCTTATTGTGCTCATTTGTATTTTACTTAATATATTGGTAGACAATAGAGCAACATCTAAGCACTGTAAACTGCGTTTCTATAAAGCTTAATATATATATAATAAGCAGAACCCTTTAAAGAATACACATGACGAGAATAGTATATATGTCTTTTCCAAGATAACCAGACTTCTATTACTTGTGTCCTTTAGCCTAATACTCATAATCATTACTATCTTATATCTATGTTAAGGATATTATACACTGTTGTGTACAATACTGAATTCTATCGGACGTGTACACGGCTGTCAGACCTATATTGGACGAGGAGCTAGTCGTGTATGATATTGTTTTTGTAGCTGTGTACGAGTCCAATATAATAAGTGTTGTTCTCAATAATGTATATTGAGCTCTTCATTTATATTTTTTCATGAAATGTTGTTACTTAAAATGTAATAAGGTATTAATTAATTGTTAACCCTAAAAGTAAAAATTAAAGTTTGCATTTGATATAGATATTTTAGACATTGAAATGAAAACAATGCTGTATGGGATACAATATGGATTTGATGAAGATTTTGGACTCTGAAATTGGGAACGCGGTTAAAGTGATAAGATAGGATCCGATATTGATGTTTACTGGAACATCACGTGGTTCAAATGCTGAAAGTGCATCAGTCATGTTTTATAAGGCTTGATATAAATAATATAATTATTTATCTGATTGTTTAACTTGTTGCGGTTTTAAAACGAAATACAATGCATATAGATATCATAAAAGTATACAGTCAAATAGACCGACTAGTGTATTACGATGTTCACTAAATTGACCGTTCAACAGCTCATTTAGAGCCAACACTATCGTTTTCGGTTACTTATGATAGAGTATTGTTTGCGGAGACATTTTGAATGTAATAAAAGAAATAATGAGTTTGTTTTTCGCTAAATATTACTCACCGAAAAGCGAAAAGATCATAGACATTGTATGTATGTATTCTATGCTTAATGAGGGTCCATTTGCCCTATATACACGCACTTGTGAAAATATTTCAGTTTACCCGAAATGTAACCAATGACATTCCAGCGTTTGCACCTTGTGATCTATTAATTTAATTCACAATTGGTGTTATTAATTTCCAATAATTCCATATAAAATAATTAATGTGCAAAGGCAAATTATTATTATAGTCTAGATATATCATCGCAAGAAAGAATGAAACCTTAGTTTATACTGAAAATGAAAGCAGCGGCACTACTATCGAACAGAGATACATTGGCACCAGGTTAGTAAAATTTTAACTAAAAACGTTATGATCTTTACATAAACTATTCTTCAGATCAAAAAATTATTCTTAGTTACCAAGATTTTAAGCATGTTAAGAAATTTTCACCGTTCTCAACGTATGATCAATGATCTCTAAGTTTAGTTACTGTCATCAACATATTAACAACCTACTAGTAAGGTGAACTTAAAATGCCCAATGTAGAAGTGACTAATTTCGTTGGAGAAAAACAACAACGTATATGTATGTTATATGTATTTATTTCATGTTAGAACATGTCATATAAGTAAATTATACGTTAATATATTCTTACGATATGTTACAATTTGCTAATTTGCTGTATAGGTTTATCCTTTATTACACAATTGGCAAATTTGTTTAAAGGCACATTATGCCTCAAAAAAGAAGTATAACAGTGCCACCATCCTTGTATTCCAGTGACATCTTCCTTGTATAACAGTTACACCATCCTTGTATAATCAACTAACATCATCATTATCTCACCTTAATTTCTGAAAGCTAAAAAAAGTTATTTCTCCACTTTAATAGTTAAAACTTTTTACTGCTAGTTGCTATTTTCTAGATCCATGTTACCTGAATGCTGATACATCCATATGAAAAACAATGTTAAGCCTTACCCGGAAAATTCAAATATTTGAAAGTAATATCTAGACAATGAGCTTACAAAAATAACAATTGACAAAAGTGAATCAATACGATACCTTGATGTCTTTAAATGCTAAATTTATATGAAACCATTGACGTTATTTGAACTAAGAACAATCCAGCAGAAAGTTACCTATTTTAATAAGCATCTGCATTGATAACAGAAAATTCAACAACTCAGTAAAAAAAATCATAAAGCATTAAGCTTTCATTGAAACAAAAAATTAAATAGTAAAGACTTGAACTTTGATAATTCGTAGGACAGTTCTCTCTCAACTTTTAAGTGTTTCTCACATTTAGCACTTAACCTGTGCGGTGGCCGATATGCAAATAAGCAATTTACGGTTCATTCCGAAACGGGTAACATCCACATGTAACATCCACCAATTACATACAAAAATAAATCCGTTTCAATCGGCACTTTACGTAAATAATGTTTTTGTTAATGTCGGTATATAAATGCCATATAATTGTTTACTATGTTTTTTAAATAGTTCACAAATATTATCACTTTATATCAATATCAATTTAATTAAAGGTGTTTTATTTCTTAAAGCCATAAAAATGCACATCCATTGTTCAATGTACACATTGGTACATGATAACTTCCGACCAGAAACAGCAACATGAAGTGATCCAAACAC